ACAGTTCATTATCAGTTCAACCCATGCATTTACTACTTTTTTTGCACGTCTTTTTTTGCTGGGTATTAACAAAAATAACGTATGCAGAAAACATAAAGAACAAGTAAGAGTGCTATATTCGGCTGTGCCGAATCTTATATACCCTTCACCATAGTGTATTTAAAAATTCATTTTCCCGACTATATCATTATTATAGCAATAGCAAAACATAATGAACAACAACAATGCTAAATGAAATAAACACACAAAAAAAAATACACAAGACAGTAAAACCAACAGACATCCAAACATACGAAACAAAATACAGAAAAAACAAAAACATAATACACAACGCAATGAAACCAACAGACATCCAAACATACGAAACGAAATACTCAAAAAAACAAAATACACAAGGCAATGAGGCACACAGCCATCCAAACATACGAAATTGAATGTACCAAGAAACAAAAACAATATACACAAGGCAATGAAACACACAGCCATTCAAACATACGAAACGAAATACTCAAAAAAACAAAATACAAAGGCAATGAATAAGCATTGTTGTTGTTGGTTATTTTTTATGACATTTTCAGAGGTTGTCTCGGATTTTTGCTTATATCTCCGTTGTTTATGAACGGATTTTGCTGATTTTAAATAGAAAACTTCTCGAAAGCATGTCTTTTATTGAAGATTTGGATCCCGAAGATACCTTGGGTCTTCAGAAAACTGATTTCAACAGACAGACAGACAGACGGACATGGCTTAATCGACTCCGTTATCTATAAGGATTCAGAATATATATACTTTATGGAGTCGGAAAATTATATTTTGGAAATTACAAACGGAATGACAAACTTATATATACCCTTCTCACGAAGGTGAAGGGTATAAAAACGCCTTCATAATGAATAATGTACATTATGCAGAATTTGAATTTGTCAAATTTTGACTTCAATAAGTATTACTCAGTGACCGGGAAAAATAATTGAACAAAACTTTTTTTACATTATTTATTAAGGTGTATATAATCGATTACCATTAAACAAATTGTTTTGCTTTCGTTAGTAGGGAACTTTTTTGCAAAAAAAGAAGCCATGGTCAAAAATTAAAATTTTAAAATTTAAACTTAAATATTTTTATTTATATGAGAATAAAATTATTATAATCAGCATAATTTTACTTTACTAAGTCATATACATTAAAAAAAATTATTTTATCAAAATCGGCGCATATTTGTTACAAGGTCCACAATTATTTCACATTCAAAATTATGAATAAAGACACATGACTCTGTATTTGAAACTAAATTTGTTGTTTAGTTCAATTTTTTTCATAAGATACAATAATATAAATAATTCTAATAATAAAACATAAAATTTATAATGAAACTTAATTTTTGTCCGATAACTGACATAATTTTTATACATACCGGGGTATGTTGGGTATTGACACACGAGGTAAAAATAAAAAATCGGTCTTAAATCGGTTTAAAATATATATATCTAACTAATTTTTGGAAAATGTATAGAAAACTTTACTCTGAAAGCAAAGTCCAATTTCAAGCCGATACGATATATAGATCTCGAGATATATCACTTCAAAAATGAAAAACATACCCGGGTATGTGGCTATTGACAAAACGGTTAAAGGGGACTTTTTCGTTCTTCAAAATGTACTTTTTGAATTTATACATTATATTTTACAGCATCTTCTATGATTTTCTTGGAGCACCCAGTTATTTCAACAATTTGTCTATAGCCCTTACCAAGTATAATTTTTAATGAGATTAATTTGACATTTATAATAAAATCCTCATACTTACTATTTGGATCGATTTCAATTTGAAAATTGTCAACAAATTGTTAAATTTTTATACCCTACACCACTATAGTGGGAAGGGTATTATGCGTTTGTGCTGATGTTTGTAACGCACTAAAATATTAGTACTATACCCACCTTTAAGTATACCGATCGACTCAGAATCACTTTCTGAGTTGATTTAACGATGTCCGTCCGACCGTCCGTGTGTCCATGTAAACGTTGTTATCAAAGTACAGGTCGTAATTTTCAAGATAATTTGATGAAATTTATCATACATGTTTCTTTGGCGAAGGACGAAGCCTATTGAAAATGGTTAAAATCGGTCCATTATTTCACCTAGCCCCCGTACAACTGAACCCCCCGAAAAGGGCTTTTGAGCTCATAATTCTGTATAATATAAATATATCTCGATAAAAGTTCGCACAACTAAGTTTTATACAAGCCTTGATGACCTTGCCGAATTTCTAAATGATCGGACTTCATTTGACCCTAGCCCCCATACAAAATGACTTGAATATCCGCAATTCACTTATTAACACAGTTATTGCAATGAAATTTATCACAGACTTATATTATATTAATATAAATCTATCCAGCGCATTTTATCGGGATCGGTTCACATTTGCTCCTACCCCCATATCCCGTCAATAAATTGCTTAAATAAATCGGAATCAAGGTAATATTCCAGATAAATGCTTTATTATGAAAAATAGATCACATTTAATATTCATAACTGGTGTAGGGTATCATATGGTCGGTCACGCCCGACTATACTTTCTTACTTGTTATATTATATTATAGACTGAAGTAAATGAGAACCCATAAAAGAGGACTTTTTTTATATTTCTAAAATATTGAATATATAAACATAAAATGAAGCACGTAGCGTCGTGACTGAACGAAAATTTATAAAAAGAGACTTTCTGGTACTTTTTCGTTCTATTAATAATACTTTTTGAACCTAAAAACATAAAATTGGACACGCAGCTGCCTGATTGTATTAAAATCTGTATGAGAGGAATGGTTGAAAATTTAACATGCATCATCTTTATTTAATTAAAGTCTATAAAAAGTTACCTTCTGTTACATTTTCGTTCTCCAACTGACATTTTTTGAATTTCCTGTAAATCATTATTGATTGAAAATCTATGAAATATAGAACCTATGAACCTGTATGAAAATCTATAAGGGTGGAGTTTTTGATATTGCAGATATACATACATATATGTACATAAATGTATGTATATTGTACTGGTTGAAAATTTACGATAATATTTATTTTATTTCCATACCAAAATTAGCACTAACATAAGAAATGGGTGTGGACATAGTATAACCGCCCTTTTTTGGCGAAGTTATTCTAACCTTTATTGTGAACTTATTAATTAAATGTCGCTTTAGAGAACAACAAAATATTAATCAATAAATATTTTTAATATAATAAGTATAAGTATTAAGGAGAAGGAATACAGAAAATGGAAGGTGCCTTATTTGAGATATTCTTCAATCAAGGACATTTTTTAATATAATTATCTTTGTATTAAAACTATAATATTTTAATAATAGTAATATTAATTAGGGACTAAAACTATTAAAATCGGATTGATAGTTTAGAAAATATACGATGACAAATTTAAGGCTTGTTGAAAAAAGTCCTAAAAAATATTAATTTTGGACCTCGACAAAATCTAAACCGTAACGAATTTAGAAATTTTGGAGAACTTTAAATTTCGTATTTACACGAAGAATGTGTGTACCGAATTTCATCGAAATCGGAGAGTTCAAAGTCCTACTTCTTTGTTCGAATTTTTTTTAAATTACTTATGTATATTTTTCTGTGTGTCAAGAATTTAATTTCATTAAAATTATTTTAATTTAATTTTTCAAAAAAAAATTATGAATGATGTCTTATTTTGTTACAAGCAGTTTCTGTTGCGTCTCAGATCTTAAAAAGAATATATTCGGAAACATGGCAATTTAGTTATATCTGTATTTTTTCTACCTAGAAATTTTATTAAAATAATAAAATAATATTTTTTTTGATGAAATTTTCAGATGTAGTTTCGTTGTTGTTTTTGCTCATATCTCCGCTATCTATGCAAGGATTTTCCTTATTTTAAACTTCTCCAAAACATGTCTGACAGAATTATTATTAGAGATTAGGATCCCGAGGATATATGAGGTCTTCAGAAAATTAATTTCAACAGACAGATGGACATAAATCGACTTCGCTTAGCGGAGTCCGCTATCTATAAGAATTAAGAATATACATATGTACTTTATAGGGTTGGAAAAATATTTTCGAAATTTCAAACGGAATGACAAACTTATATACATATACCTTTCTCACGAAGGGTATAAAAATTAATATTTTTTCATAACTTTGTTAATTGGTTTTATCACTTTTTGTAAAATTGATTTTTTTTAATAAATTATATCATTTCACCAAAAAAGTGAAATTTTATTTTACTTGTGAAAGAACTCATTCTTTGAAAAATCATAATTATTATATGAAGGGCCGTGAAAAAAATATTTCATCGGATAGCGTCACATTTGTTCAATTCACAATCAAGTTCTATACTGTACCTACTAAAGTGTAGTCACAGTGATTGTGAACAGATCTTTGCAACAAGTCATAAGTTTATGTTCTCAATGAAAAAAAAAAAAAAAAAAACAGTCAAAACAAACATACATACATAACAATATCAAAATAAAAAAATAAAATAATATTAAATTAACTAAACAAGCGAAATAAATCAAATTAATTTCTTTGAATTTTAAATTCTATTATTTTCCATTTTAAACTAATAAATAAACTGTTTTTAATATATTTTTTTTTTTTTTTTTTGGTAAATAGCTGTCTGTTTGTGATTTCAGTGTTACCATTTTATCGTTTTTTATGCCAGAATCGATTGAATTTTTTGTTTTTCTGTTATAATTATTAATTTTAATAAAAAAAAAAAACAATGGACAACATAAACTTTCTTACAACATTCGAAAAACATATGCAAAATTGTCGTAAGAGTTGTATAGAGCTTTTGCATAGAAAATTCCAACAACATTGTTATGACTATTATAGCAGCTGCTGACATAGTACGCATACAACGATACAACATCGTATGTGAATTGAACAATTGTATGTATTTTAAGTTCTACAGTGAATTGAAATACTCAAAAAAGTGGACTGAACTTACCTTGGCAAATAATAATTTATTGGATGGTGAATCTTTACCCAATCTATGTTCAGTAATTGAGCAAGCATCCATAAACGCTTGGGCAATTCCACTCAGGCTGGCATCGACAGTAACTGTTTTATTTACATCAAATATAAAATCCGGATTTTTTATAAAATTAACCCAAAATCTTAAAGGCAAGCTGTTTGACTTCCATGCATGAACAATATCAGTGTCATAAATATCGTGTCTTCGTGCAGCTTCATCTAGTAAGTCAAATAACCATTTTACTGCCGGTGGTAATTCTTCATTAACTGTTAATATAGTAGCAAAAAAATCATCAACAAATTTTTGTATAGTGCCTTTAGCTGCCAAAAGCCGTGTCAAATAAACTTCAGGTATGGTTTTGTGTGTACGTTCACCAGTAGTCGCACATACTGATCCAGAATTATTGGTGTTGTTACCCCCCTGATGATATTGCTGAATTTTTCATGTTCATATAATGATCGGGCATTAATGGTTTTATTAAGTGATAAACACGAGGCTGTTGCAGGCCGGATTCAATATCGTTGTTCATTATAATATGAGATTGTGAATTATTGATGTAATAAACTAAATAAAAGAAACATATTTATAATTATTAATATTTCAAATATAACTCTATTGTAAAACAAGTTAGAGTGTTATATTCGAGTGTTATTAAATACCATCCACCTAGAAGCTACTTTTTATCAAAACCCTTCTACATATTTTTAGATATTTACAGTCTATAGTCTATAACGACTTTTAGCTTAATAATCCATTATTAAAAAAGTATATGCAAAAACAGTATTTTAACTAAAATACATTTTAATGTTGTTTTAGATTTGATGCTGGCAATGCCATTATTTTATTCTGTCAATATTCATACAATATTCATAATGTTGTATATGAACGATTATTAGTTCATTTGGTATTCGTGTCTAATATTATTTTTTATGCTTTTATATAAAATAATTGCTTATAATAACATAAAAATGGGGTTGTATTTGTTTATTTAATAAAAATAAAGTATAAATCAAATAAAACAACTAATGTAATTGCAATATTATATTTTGATTAAAGAAAGTAATCGAGTAACGTTTTCTTTAAATTTGCATTGATATTTTACACATCACTAAACTATTTTATAAACAAAATTTATATTTTTGGCAAAAAGAAAAGAAAAAATATGGAGACAAAGCCTGAAAATAAAAGGAAAAGTGTATCCATATTGTTTTTTATTTATTTATTTTTTTATAATTTAAAATTAACACAACAATATTTTTCACAAAACGTCAACAGTTATAAATTGTAATAAAATAATGACATTTGACTTTAATATAGGTTTAAAGTACGGTTGAACCATTATTAATTTTCGTATTTTTAACAATGGTTTACTACAGGTATTTTAAGCTAATTATCGTTTTTGGATATACTTTTATCGAATTTAGCTTAACAACGGTTAGTAAGCATGTTGTAAGTTTTTTTGCATAAGACTGTTAATATATTGTGAATTTTTAAATATGGCTTCCGTATTTTATACATCCATGGAGCTAATTTTGATCCAGTCCATAACTAATTTATGGACCTTTTATGGAGATATGACCAACTATTGGCCAATCCGGACAAAATTTTGAAGAATGATTTATCGATACTCAAAACTCGGATTTTATCCGTATATACTTACATATCGTCAGATTTTAAATATTAGTAATTGCTTTTATATTTTTATTTTTGACTTTGCAATAAATATGTATTTTCCTCATATTTAAGCTGGGGGTCCACACCACGCGTTCTACACTTCTTCGCATTCTACGCGGCTGTCAAAGAAGTGGAATCAATGTTGTAGCACACAAAGAACAAAAGCGTAGAATGCCTTGACGCGTATAACGCTTAAAGTAGATTTACTTTCTACTTTTGTAAGCGTCGGACGAACATGTCAGCTGATTTTGACAATTTATATTATATTTTGAATGTGTATTATCAATTTTATTATTAAAATTTTTAATAAACTAAAACCAGTTAAATTGTGAAAATATAAAAAAAAAAAACTTAAAAAAAAGCGAAGTTCTTTATAAAAAAAGCAAAAAATTGACGCTTAAGAAGCGTAGCATGTAACTTGAGGCGTAGGATGCAAAGAAGGTATGAAAAACGAAATGCTTTGACGAGAAAACGCGTAGTGTGGACTTCCAGCTTTAAAAATATGCATACTTAAAATATATTTCTGTTAAAAATATTTTTAGTATTTTTGCAAAAAATATTTACTCATACAAGCTCAAGGCGAATTCAGATAAGGTGGTGGCAGTTCTGCAACAACAACATTTTACATGTATTTTGTTTTTGCATTTGGTTTACGTAGATGTCAAAAACCATAAGTACGGCGAATTCATTTGATGAACAATTTTTGTAAAATGTTTATATTTTATTAAAAAATAAAGATAAAGATATTAAAATTTGTGAGAAAAATATATTCTGAATTGAATAATGTTTGTTTCAAACGAAAAATTCTATTCCGGCAGATTAATTTGCAAAATTTAAGTGAGTGCCTGAAGTTAAGTAAAACTTAATTTTTTGTGAAAAATAAACATAAAAAAGTACATATTCATGAAAATATTATATTAGGAATGAATGAATATTTGTTGCCGGACGGGTAAATACTTCATATGGGTTTTGTTATATAAAGCGTTCCGGAACAGACTTTTTTAGTTAATCTCTTTATCTACATAGTGTATATATAAAATAATATTGTGTAATTTGTTAACATTTAATAGATTTCAAAATTGAGCCATAACGTAGAAGTTAGCTGCCGCCAGCCGGGTAAATACTTCATATGCGTTTCTTTATATTAAGTGTTCCGGAAGAGATTTTTTTTAGTTAATCACGTTATCTACACAATTTTAATATAAAATATAAAACAAAATTGTGTAATATGTTAACATTTAATAGAAAAAAATATTTTTCTTAAATAACATATTTGTATACATACCAATTATGCCATTATTTAAATAAAATGATATTTGTTTACGAGATGCTTGGTATTTTCAGATTTTTTACATAAATAATTCAAAATATTAACGAAGTTTTTCTCCGTTTAACGGACATTTTTAAATATAAAAATGGAAACAATAACAAACTTTGACAGCTACGTAAACCAGGCGAATTAAGAAAAAAATTATCAGCTGATTAAATAACACCACCTTATATGAATTCGCCTTGATACAAGCTATTGCATATTGCACCTTACAGACAAATATAAAATTTTTTCACATGCAATATATTTCGCAGCAACTCGCTAACATATTTAGAATACCCACATATTATTTATATTGCTTGCCTATAATATAAAAATATTTTTCTATACAAATTATTTGAAGTTAAATATATTCAAGCCATACAGGCAAAAATGTACGAACTTGAAATGTAGGTGAAAGATTAGCGATTAAATTAAAAATCCTCGAAAGATGTTTTTGAGTACTCAATTAGTTAATTTTGTTTGCAAGTTTAAGCGCCCAATGGAGGTGGTTTAATCTTAAGCACGAAATGCAAAAGTGTAAACAGCTGATGCAAAAAAATTAATAAAATTTGTATAAATATAAACATTAAAATGTTCTATTTATTGATTAGTATATATGGACACTTCAAAATAAATTTTTTTGTTTTTAATATACATTGTTTTGATAACAAACAGTGAAGTTTTCTGTTGTTTTGTATGGCAACACTGTGAAGTTTAATCTTGTACTTAAAAACATCAAAGGGGATTAACATAATTTAAATTTATTTTTAGATTAACTAATCTGATTATTAATTGGCATTTGATTACCATCTCAAAAACCCGCTCTAAATAAAACGATAGTAGCGACTATGAGTTTGTAATATTTTGACTGCAAAATTTAAATATGATTTAATATAGGAACTTATTTATGTGACGACGAAAACACTAAATGAAACGATAGTCGCGACTATGAGGTTCTAATATTTTGACTACAAAATTGAAATTCATTCGTAATTCAGATCTGGGTGAAGGAATATCGTCGTGCGTCATTGCCATTATCTCTTAAAGGTAATCAGGCCGTCCTTTTTGCTCTGCCTTCGAGAGTTTTACGTTTCACTACCGCATTGGTTTAGTGTGTGGCGTCGGATAACGGTACCGCGTTACTGTTTTTCGTGTTCTACATATTAACCATATGCATTCGGATTTATAACCCAACTTATTAAAGTAAAAGTGGAGAACATGGTGGAGAACCATAAAAAACTCATTGGATTTTGGTGGAGACCATAAAACTCATTAGCTAAGTCTGAGCGATCTGGCTTCCTATACAAAGGTATAGGTCGTTTCGGTAAATTTAAATCAAGGCGAATTCAGATAAGATGGTGGCAGTTCGGCAACAACAACTTTTTTCATGTAATTTGTTTTTGTATTTGGTACGCACTGATTTGCTCTGCCTTCGAGAGTTTTACGTTTCACTACCGCATTGGTTTAGTGTGTGGCGTCGGATAACGGTACCGCGTTACTGTTTTTCGTGTTCTACATATTAACCATATGCATTCGGATTTATAACCCAACTTATCAAAGTAAAAGTGGAGAACATGGTGGAGAACCATAAAAAACTCATTGGATTTTGGTGGAGACCATAAAACTCATTAGCTAAGTCCGAGCGATCTGGCTTCCTATACAAAGGTATAGGTCGTTTCGGTATTTGTTGGACAAGGCTTCTTGGATTGTTACCTGTCACTATGCTTGCTTTATGCGGCGCCATTTAAATTTTTAGATTCCAAAAAAAAAAAAAAAATTGAAATCAAGGCGAATTCAGATAAGGTGGTGGCAGTTCGGCAACAACAAATTTGTTCATGTAATTTGTTTTTGTATTTGGTACGCACTGATCTCAAAAACAATCATTTAATGAAAATATTTTGTGAAATTTTTATATTTTATAAAAATACACATAAAATTTTGGAAGATTATTCTACCCTGAGTGGAATAATGTTTGTTACAAATGAAAAATTCTACTCCGGCAGATTAATTTTGCAAAACTTAAGTTAGTGACCAAAATTATGTAAAAGTAATATTCTTGTGAAAAATAAACATAAAAATGTAAAAATTTATGGAAAAATTATATACCGAATGAAAGAATCTTTGTTGTAAATGGAAAATTATAATAAAATTATAATTATAAATTATTATAACTTCATGTGAGTTTTTTATATAAAGTATTCCGGAAGAGAATTTTTTAGTTAGTCGCTTTATATACAAAGTGTAAATATAAAATATAAAACAATATTGTTTAATTTGTTAACATTTAATAGAAAAAATATTATTGTTATATTAAGTTAATACATTCGTACCAATTATTCATTATTTATATCTATAAGAAAAATATTTGTTTACAAAATGCTTCATATTTTCAGATTATTTACATAAATTATTCAAAATTAGTATTTTGAAGTTTTTTCTCGGAAATTTTTAAATATAACAAGTCAGAGTGCTATATTCGGCTATGTCGAATCTTAAATACCCTCCACCTGTAAGCTACTTTTTATGAAAACCCTTATAAATATTACTAGATACGTATTTAATAAATTGTGAAAGTTTA